AAAAGTCCTGCAGACATAGTACACATTTGAATAAAATTTCATCAACCTACTTCATTTCGTTCGAAAGCTAGAGTGATTTCCACAGACGGACGGACATTGATAAATCGACATAGAATTTTATGCTGATCAAGAATATATGTACTTTGTGGGGTCTAAAATGTATATTTCGGGGTGTTACAAACGGAATGACAAACTTAATATACCCTCCATACTATGGTGGAGGGTATAAAAATTGAAATTCAAGATTGCGGCCGCTACCAAATTGGCGGACAACGTAGGTTTTATCAATCCCATCAATATGGGCATTAAATGAAAGGGCTCAACAAGCAGAATAAAATATACTATAAAGATTGAAATCCAAGATGGCGGCCGCTACCAAATGGCTGATAACAATTTTTTATCAATTTTGCCACTATGGGTATCAAATAAAAGGGCATGACTAGAAAAATACATTATACTATACAAGTTCAATATTTAAGATGGCGCAGCCAATAAATGGCGTATAATAATAAGATTTAAATTTAGAAATTGCATCTGTAATTCTGGTATCTGATTAATCCAGCCTGATTCCACCCCTCAAGTCACGATTTTGTATCGTGTTAAGGATACCACTAATACCACAGGGTGGCTAAAATTGTCAACCGTTTAAATGTCCATTACTCGTGGGAACAAAATGGTACAAAAATATAAAATATGAATTAAACAAAATGCGAAATAAAAACTAAAAACTAGAAAATTAAAAATAGGTAGAAAACTTTTTAAGTTAAAAGGTTTTATGTTAAACATACATTGCAATGTTTTAGAAAAGTGTACTAAAAACCAAAAAATAATAAAAAAATAGATACAGTCGTGGGAATTATAAACATATGCATAGACTTGAGGAAACTAACACCGAGGGGCACTTCAATTGCATATGCATATTGTAGAGAATTGACGTGCCCCACGGTTTTATTTTAGTCAAGTCTATGCATATGTTTATAATTCCCACGACTGTATCTATTTTTATACCCTCCACCATAGTATGGAGGGTATATTAAGTTTGTCACTCCGTTTGTAACACTTCGAAATATACATTTTAGACCCCATAAAGGGCATATATTTTTGATCAGCATAAAATTATATGTCGATTTATCAATGTCCGTCCGTCTGTGGAAATCACTCTAGCTTCCGAACGAAATGAAGTAGGTTGATGACATTTTACTCAAATGTGTACTATGTCTACAGGAATGCTATAGCTTATGACATAAAATTGTCTGTGCAGGTCCACGCCTTCGTATAGCCCCCATATAATGGTACCCCCCGATATTCGGTATTTGGATGCTTTTAGCTACATTATAAACAATTTTTTTTTCAAGTTTAGCATTTGAATATTGTAATATCTTGTGACAAAAATTGCCTATGCAGATCCACGTTGTCGTATAGACTCTAATATACGGCTACATTAGGTATTTTCAAGATTTAAACAGAATTTTTAACGTACCATTTTTTTTTAATTTAAACATTTGTTTACCTATTTTATTTCTTTTCAATGCAACTTTATATAATGGTCATATATTTATTTGAATTTCAACTGACACAAATAAATGAATTTCAACTGCCGCAAATACAGGGTAAGATAAAAAATTATAAAAAGTAAAGAAGCCAAAGGCCATAACTTTTACTTTTTTTGTAAATTTTTATGAATGAAAGCAAAAAATTTCGGAAATAGCAACAAATTTTAGAATAAGTTTTGATTTGTTCGAATTGGTCACCTTTGGCACCAATTAAGGCATTCAAACGGCCAACCGTCACACGCTGCCGAATGTTGTCTGTGGCATTTTGGCCCATTTCCGTGAAGTACTTGCTTGAGGTGATCGACACTTTGGTTATTATGACGGCCCCACCATCATCATGGCAGGCGCTTGAGTTCTGGTGGCCAACCGAAGGTGCACATTTTCAACTGACCTCTTTGGCAAATAAACACGATCATTTTGTTTGTTCGGCTAAGCGAAGCAACTTATTAGCTCTTTTGAGTATATTTTCTTTCTGTTGCGGTGTAAGTTCTTGCATTTTTTGGAATCCCAATGGCTTTACCCCGAGTTAATTTTTTAAAACTTGCCGAATGGAATACTGCGATATGTTCAGCCATTTTCGCGCACTGCGGCGCGTGTTTCGATCAAGTCGCTTCTTTATTTTTCGAATCATTTCTGCTGATGTTGCTGTTTTCTTCCATCCACTTCCTTGACGGTAACGAGCAATGGTACGAGACACAAAAGATTTATTCACATTTAAATGCTGGAGTGCTCTAACGATAGCCTATTGTGGTTTTCCAGCCAAATATAAAGAAATCACACTATCACGCTTGAATTCCATCACGAATAACTTATTTTTTCTTTAAAATTCTCACCAAAATGCTTTTGTACGCGTGTAAACCATATAATGAGCTGTAACTGAAATAATTTTACAGCTGTCGGATGAGAGGCTTAGAAATGACAGCAGTCTTAAATTGAATGCAGTTTTTATACCCTCCACCATAGTATGGAGGGTATATTAACTTTGTAATTCCGTTTGTAACTCCTCGAAATACTAATGTCAGACCCAACAAAGTATATATATCCTTGATCAGCATAAAATCCGTCTATCTGTCTGTCCGTATGTCTGTCTGTTGTAATCACGCTATCTTCCGAACGAATTTTTACAAATGTTAAGTTTGTAATTGGGCCATGTAGCCGCATATAACGATACTTCCCGACATTCGGTATTTTGATGATTTTAGCGACATTACCGAAAAAATTTTCAAATTTGGTATTTGAAGTTCGAAATGGATACTAGAGCCTAAGAAAGATAATTGTCTGTGCAGGTCCACGTCTTCGTATAGCCCTATATAACAGTACCTCCCTATACTCGGTATTTTGACGATTTTAGGTACAATACTCACCGAAATTGTTGGAGATGTCGTATTTGAAGTTCGTAATGGATGCTACAGCCTGTGAAAGACAGAAATTGTCTGTGCAGGTCCACGTCTTCGAATAGCTCCGATATAACGGTACCTCCCTTTATACGGTATTTTAATGATTGTAGCTACATTATTCACCGTTTATTTCAAGTTTCGAATTTGAATATGATAATGACTTTTGACAAACAAAACCTATGTAGATTCACGTCATATAGACCCTAATATAGCGGCTTTATTCGGTATATTTAAGATTTTAACAGAATTTTTAATGGATTTTATTTTTTGAAAATTTCCAAATTTTTTTCCAAATGGTGGAGGGTATTTAAAGCTCGGCGCGGCCGAACTTACTTACTTTACTTAACTTGTTTCGTCTTACCCTGTACATTGTCAAAAAACGTTTGGCCATTAATGTTCTTCAAATTCAAAATTTGAAAAAATTATAATTAGACGTAAGCACGATTTTACATTCCTTATTCGGTCATGATTAAGAACTTTAAAAACTAATTGCATTCATTCGATTGAAAGGGTTACGTTTTCAGAATCAAAACCATTTCAATTTTCACAATCTAAAAATAATCTCCCATATATTCTAAAATTATAAAAATGTACACGTGATGTTTCCCCTAAGAGTGCCCAAAGAACAACTACAACAGCTAGTTATTTTGTTCCGCCTGCCTATATGCCTTCATTAATTATTTATCCTTATATTAATAGTCCAATAATTTCGATGTCGTTCAATAGCCCAAAGACCCAGAAAATAAAAGAGCATTGAAGGAATGTTTAGTAGATGGGTTGTTAAAAGTTTTTTAAATTCTGACTGTGCAGCAAACCTTTTGGATGTTCATCAGCGTATTCTTAGTCCTCAGTTCTTCGACCTGCTGTGAAAAATGTTAGCATTTTAGAGGTATCAGTAAGATCTGAATTATGCAACACATTATATTTTTATAAGGTTTTATACCCTCCACCATACTATGGAGGGTATATTAATTTTGTCATTCCGTTTGTAACTCCTCGAAATATTCATGTCAGACCCAACAAAGTACATATATTCTTGATCAGCGTAAAATTCTAAGACGATTTAGCCATGTCCGTCTGTCTGTCTGTTGTAATCACGCTATCTTTCGAACAAATTGAGATAGAAGGCTAAAATTTTGCACACATGTATATTTTGCCAGTAGGCAGGTTAAGTTCGTACATGGGCCATGTAGGTCCAAGTTATCATATAGCCCCCATATAACGGTACCTCCCGATATTCGGTATTTTGATGATTTTAGCGACATTATTCACCGGAATTATTTCAAATTTGGTATTTGAAGTTCGTAATGGATACTACAGCCTAAGACAGAAAATTATCTGTGAAGGTCCACGTCTTCATATAGCCCCCATATAACGGTACCCCCCGATATTCGGTATTTTGATGATTTTAGCGACATTGTTTACCGAATCGTTTCAAATTTGGTATTTGAAGTTCGTAATGGATACTTCATCCAAAGTCAAAAAATGAGCCATGTAGATCCACGTCTTCATATAGCCCCCATATAACGGTACCCCCCGATATTCGGTATTTTAATGATTTTAGCGACATTATTTACAGGGATTCTTTCAAATTTCGCATGTGAAGTTCGTAATGGATACTTCAGCCCATGCCAGAAAATTGTCTGTGCAGGTCCACGTCTTCGTATAGCCCCCATATAACGGTACCCCCCATATTCGGTATTTTGACGATTTTAGCTACATTATAAACAGATTTTTCTTCAAGTTTCGCATTTAAATATTGTAATAATTTATGACAAAAGTTGCCTATGCAGGCCCACGTCGTTGTATAAGCATTCGGTATTTTTAAGATTTTAACAGAATTTTTAACGTTTTTTTTTGGAAATTGCCAAATTTGTACCAAATGGTGGAGGGTATTAAAAGTTCGGCCCGGCCGAACTTACAGCTTTTTTACTTGTTTTTTCTCCGAATATGGACTTTTTTTATGAAGCCCAATGTAGTTTTTCGAATTGTCATCATTGATTTAATCGATACGTCTACCATATGCTTCAAGTTCAGAATAAAATTACACTTATATTTTAATGTACATTTAGCCTTTCATATTTTTATTCAATTGGGATGTTTTGATACAAAAAGGTATCTAATCAAGTGCTACGCACTGTGGAATAGCACCAGACCATTTGCCATTTTTTAAACATTTTACCATTTTAGGACCGCGCAGCTCCAGACCAGCATCACACGTAAATGTGATGCTTTCACCAATTGCATAGTAAAACTGGACAGACGACATGTGACCGCTAATAGCCGTTCCAGGATATGAACAGGCTTGAACGCATTTTGGAAGACCTCCAGACCATCGACCATTGTCTTGACATGCTATAATTGGTTGGCCCTGCATCATGTATTCCGGATTGCAATTAAATTGAACAACATCTCCAGCTCGATATGGAGGAGTGCCTTGAGCGTAACCATTTGGTGGAGCTCCAGGATTTTCGCACTGGACTTCAACACATGTGGGGAAAGGGGTTGCCCATTCACCAGATGGCATGCATATTGACTCTGATGGGCCTCTTAGCCCGTAACCCGACGGACAAGAAAATGCGGCGCGACCTCCCACTTCACGTGATAGGACCGATACTCGTGGCGAAGTTATATTATTTGGCAATGGAATGTCACCACATTCTACGCTTTCACATACAGGCAAAGGAGCGCTCCAATTTCCACTGGGGAGACAAAAGAGTTCTGACGATCCTATCAGAGAATTACCATTGGAACAGGAGAGCAGAACTCGCACACTGAGTTTGGTTTCATTCGTGCTTACAATAAGGCCACGTCGTGTTGGTATTTCAGGACAATTTATGCTCTTAACCACCACTTCGACAGAATGTTTATGTCTGGCTGGTGTTTCACATGAATAAATGCCGGAATCATCGATTTGAGCGTCTGCTATTGTAAGACGGTATTCCAGTGTAGGATCCCGACCCTCTTCTGTAACCCAGCCCTCAGAGTAATTCCTTAAAACGGAAAATATATTTACAAACAAACGTATTCAGCGCTATTTTTTGGTAGTTAACTTACTTAAAATCGTGGCTAACCGACCATTTGGGATTACCGAAACGACGCATCCATAGGCACTCCATATGCAACGTTGTTCCGGGGTACACAATCAGTTTACCGTCGTTACTCTGTGCAATGGGACCATTATGTCGTCTAAACAGAATTGTAGGAGCCTTTTCCACTATAAATGTATAAGAATTATTTCCTAAAGCTTCTTATTTTTGGTACTTACTTGCATAGTCATTTTCTTGGTTAAGACCGAAACACTGGGGTTTCACTCCCGTCCACTCTGAATGGATGCAAGTACGTTCAATGCTTCCAACCAGTTCGAATTTGCCAATATCTGTACATCTGAAATTATAAAAAGAGGTATTTATGAAAATACTTGCTGCATACAGATTCTAACTAGACCTTCAAAATTTGGCAGAACAATTTGTATTGTGCCTAGGATGGTTTTTGTTGAAAATGAGATGTATCGGTTCAGGTTTTGGTATAGCTCCCATATAACGGTAAATTCCGATATTCGGTATTTTGATGATTTTTGCCACTTTTTCACGGATTTGTCTAAAAATTGATCTTTGTAGGTCATAGTGGGTTCTTGCTCCGGTAGCCAAACATTGTATGTATAGGTCCACATTTTGGTATAGACTATTTAGTTCCACGTTTTTTATGAATTTTGGTATTGAATATCTGTAAATGCGATGCGGTTAGATAAAGAGTCGAATTGGGAAATTCCTACTGTAGCGTGTACGAAAAATATCTATTGAACGGTACTAAACTTTAACTGTATCTTAAAGAACAGAACAGAAAGTTTTAACAGCAACTTTGAATACCTTCCACCATATGGAAGGAATTTGCCAATTTTCAAAAATAACAAGTAAAAAAGCAGTAAGTTCGGCCGGGCCGAACTTTGAATACCCTCCACCATTTGGAACGAATTAGAAAATTTTCAAAAAAATAAAATCCAATAAAAATTCTTTTAAAATCTTTAAAATATCTAATATAGGAAGGTGCCGATATATGGGGAGATATACGATATTGTGGACCTATAAAAACAAATCTATGTCTGCGTGTATAGTACTCCCAAGGAACTCCGTGTGTGGATTTTCAGACAATTCCGTTGAAAAATGTGGGTAAAATCATCAAAATACCAAATATCGGGGGTACCTTTATATGGGGGCTATACGATATTGTGGACCTATATAGATAATTCTCTGCCGAGGTATAAAGTACCCACAAGGAACTCCTTGTGTGCATTTTCAGACAATTCCGTTCAAAAATGTGGGTAAAATCTTCAAAATACAGAATTGCGGGGGGTACCGTTTTATGGGGGCTATACGATATTGTGGACCTATATAAATAATTCTCTGGCGAGGTATAAAGTACCCACAAGGAACTCCTTGTGTGGATTTTCAGACAATTCCGTTGAAAAATGTGGGTAAAATCATCAAAATACCGAATATCGGGGGGTACCGTTACATGGGGGCCATACGATATCGTGGACCTATATGAACAATTCTCTGCCGAGGTATAAAGTACCCACAAGGAACTCCTTGTGTGGATTTTCAGACAATTCCGTTGAAAAATGTGGGTAAAATCATCAAAATACCGAATATCGGGGGGTACCGTTATATGGGGGCTATACGATATTGTGGACCTATATTGATAATTCTATGCCGAGGTATAAAGTACCCACAAGGAACTCCTTGTGTGGATTTTCAGACAATTCCGTTGAAAAATGTGAGTAAAATCATCAAAATACCGAATATCGGGGGGTACCGTTACATGGGGGCTATACGATATCGTGGACCTATATGGACAATTCTCTGCCGAGGTATAAAGTACCCACAAGGAACTCCTTGTGTGAATTTTCACACAATTCCGTTGAAAAATGTGGGTAAAATCATCGAAATACCGAATATCGGGGGGTACCGTTATATGGGGGCTATACGATATTGTGGACCTATATAGATAATTCTCTGCCGAGGTATAAAGTACCCACAATGAACTCCTTGTGTGGATTTTCAGACAATTCGGTTCAAAAATGTGGGTAAAATCATCAAAATACCGAACATCGGGGGGTACCGTTATATGGGGGCTATACGATATTGTGGACTTATATAAACAATTCTCTGCCGAGGTATAAAGTACCCACAAGGAACTCCTTGTGTGGATTTTCAGACAATTCCGTTGAAAAATGTGGCTAAAATCATCAAAATACCGAATATCGGGGGGTACCGTTACATGGGGGCTATACGATATCGTGGACCTATATGGACAATTCTCTGCCGAGGTATAAAGTACCCACAAGGAACTCCTTGTGTGGATTTTCACACAATTCCGTTGAAAAATGTGGGTAAAATCATCAAAATACCGAATATCGGGGGGTACCGTTATATGGGGGCTATACGATATTGTGGACCTATATAGATAATTCTCTACTGAGGTATAAAGTACCCACAAGGTACTCCTTGTGTGGATTTTCAGACAATTCCGTTCAAAAATGTGGGTAAAATCATCAAAATACCGAACATCGGGGGGTACCGTTACATGGGGGCTATACGATATCGTGGACCTATATGGACAATTCTCTGCCGAGGTATAAAGTACCAAAAAGGAACTCCTTGTGTGGATTTTCAGACAATTCCGTTGAAAAATGTGGCTAAAATCATCAAAATACCGAATATCGGGGGGTACCGTTATATGGGGGCTATACGATATTGTAAACCTATATAGATAATTCTCTGCCGAGGTATAAAGTACCCACAAGGAACTCCTTGTGTGGATTTTCAGACAATTCCGTTGAAAAATGTGGGTAAAATCATCAAAATACCGAATATCGGGGGGTACCGTTACATGGGGGCTATACGATATCGTGGACCTATATAGATAATTCTCCTGCCGAAGTATAAAGTACCCACAAGGAACTCCTTGTGTGGATTTTCAGACAATTCCGTTTAAAAATGTGGGTAAAATCATCAAAATACCGAATATCGGGGGGTACCGTTACATGGGGGCTATACGATATCGTGGACCTATATAGATAATTCTCTGCCGAAGTATAAAGTACCCACAAGGAACTCCTTGTGTGGATTTTCAGACAATTCCGTTGAAAAATGTGGGTAAAATCATCAAAATACCGAATATCGGGGGGTACCGTTATATGGGGGCTATACGATATCGTGGACCGATATAGCCCATCTTCGAACTTGACCTGCCTGCAGACAAAAGAGAGATCTGTGCAAAATTTTAGCTTCCTATCTTAATTCGTTTAGACTGTAGCGTGATTACAACAGACGGACAGGCGGACGGACAGGGCTAAACCGTCTTAGAATTTTACGCTGATCAAGAATATATATACTTTGTTGGGTCTAAAATGATTATTTCGATGAGTTACAAACGGAATGACAAAGTTAATATACCCTCCATACCTTTTTTGGTGGAGGGTATAAAAAAATCATCGAAAAATACTGCTTGGAGCCTATACGAAAATGTAGACCTCTATATGAAATTTGTCATAGGCCATTACGATATTCAAATATGAAACTTGAAACAATTCCGTACAATAACGCCGCTAAAAAAATCAAAATCTCGAATATAAGGGGCACCGTTATATAAGGGTTATACGAATGCCTGGACCTGCATATGCTATAATACCCCTTAGCAACTTCAAATAAGAAATTAGATGCAATTTCGGTGAATAATGTCGCTTAAATCATCAAAATATCAATTATGGAGGGGTGCCGCTTTATGAGTCCTATAGGAAGGTTGTAATAGAACAGGCATTCAATGGTATTATGTAAAATTTCTGATTGTAATGTATGATCACTGTAATGGTTCGATTTACTATACTACATCTCCTGGAAGCCATATTAGCACTGTTCAGATGGGGAGAGGAACTTTCCAATGCTGTGGTCGTTGTTGATGATCGCATCTTTGCTGTCGCTTGCGTCGCCAATCGATAACTTACTTGCGCTTGCGTCGCCAATCGATAACTTACTTGTTAAAACCCTCTCGTTGATAACACACGTTTGCAAGGTAAAGCATTGTTTCGTAAAAACCCACCTCTTTACCAATAACGTTTAAACCATATTTTTAAATTTATATCTATCTAAAATCCTTTGTTTTATAGTTTCTTTTTTCTGGTTTGCATCGGTATCACGCCAATGATCACAATTTGCAATAAAGGTATGCAGTATCTTGCTTTTTCTGTATTAGGAAACTAAATAATTAAATCGTAATTTTTATAAAAATTCCTTGCTCCCGACAATACATTTACTATGAGTGTGAAATCTGGGTTAAAACTACGAACTAAAGTAAACAAAGAAATAAACGAACAAAAGATAAAGGCAATTTTCGGTCACAGCTTTACAAACATATAATACTAAATTTAAAACAACTCCGCTGAGTAATGTCGCTAAAACAATCAATGTTCCCAATATAGGAAAGTACCGTTATATGTGGGCTATACGGAGACGAGGGCCTGTTTGAGTAACTGTTTAGGAACTTTACATTCCAATTTTGAAACGTTTCCGGCGAAAAACTTGAAATGTGCAAAAAAAAACTTGAATGTGCAAATATATAGCGTAACATTTATTTGAGCATGGTACAATGAATTTAATTTTTTTCTTTGGTAGCTTTGTAATGTCGTAACATGTACACAGTTTTTGTATGTGTATGTATTGTTTTCAATAATAAACAAAATAATTTAACAATTTTTAAAATTGTGTTCAAATTTAAATTCACATTTTTTGCAAGGAACAAGTGTCACCGGTTTGGGATGAAAAGCAATTTCAATTGTATTAGGAACTCGATGTTGTCCACGTCGTTCCATGCCATTTTCCCGATTTTCTTATGTATGAAATTATAGGGGAAAAGTGTATAATAAAAAAATAAATTTGAGGTTACAAGACTCTGGATGCAGGGTTGCATTTTTATACCCGCCACCATACTATGGAGAGTACATGGTAGAAGAATATAGGTAGACGCATCGACGCAGCTACTGAGACAATGAACTGTCAAACCAATTTTGGAATTGAAAATGTTAAATGAAAAATTATTAAAATTTGTAAAAATTGTCGAAAAAGGCATATTATAATAACCCCCGAATGACGTCGTATAAGAAAACATATAAAAATCTATTTTTATTTGAAAATAAATTTCAAAATTTTTGACATATCAATGCTCCTAAGCGTTGATGTATATTAATTAGTATATTAATTTTTCATTCCAATTGTAACTCCTCGAAATACTCATGTCATACAAAATAAAGTATATATAATCTTGATCAACGTAAAATTCTAAGTCGATTAACCGATATCCCTCTGTAATCACGCCATATAGCATTCGAG